CTGGTTTTGAGGGTTCACAGGACCCGGGCTGCTCCAGCTTCTTCAGTCCTTACTTTGGACCCCTTGCCCTCATCAGCTGCAAACAGGGTTGTACAACACCCTACCCCCCGCAGTTCCAGCTGCTGTTCTCCTATTGGCCCACTGTACTTTCCAGGGAGTACCTATTTTGGGGTTCTCTTATTTTCAGATTTCTCAGACACTCTTTGCTTCCCCTGCTTCTTTCCACAAAAATGCTGATACCATGAAAGTCTTCGAGCCACCAGTGGCTTCCACCTACATGAATTTTGGGGTTTGTGGTGCTGTCTTGTCTCCCAGTTTTGTTATAGATGTCCATAGGTTTTGGTTTTGCTATCCCAATTGCTCTCTGGCTTTTTTGTTGTTGTTTGTTTGCTTGTTTTGGTTTTTTTTTTTTAATGATGGAATTCAGGGAGATTAAAAAATGCCACTGCTATCTTCCCAGAATGCTTTTCTCTCAATTCTTTATATAATGCCAACCAGTGAAATCAAACAGACAATGGACAAACCACCATCTACTAACTTTTCTAAAAGTAGGGGATTCCAAGATGTAATAGTTATCAATCTAAAACCCATTCTGGGGACTTCCCTGGTGCCACAGTGCTTAAGAATCCACCTCCCAATGCAGGGGACGCAGGTTTGATCCCTGGTCAGGGAACGAGATCCCACATGCATGCCGCAACTAAGAGTTTGCATTCCACAGCTAAGGAGCCCGCCAGCTGCAACTAAGGAGCACATGTGCCGCAACTAAGGAGCCAGTGAGCTGAAAATTAAGGAGCCCGTGAGCCACAACTAAGGAGCCCATCTGCTACAACTAAGGAGCACACGTGCCACCACTAAAGGAGCCGGTGAGGCGCAACAAAGGAGCCCACCTGCTGCAACAAAGACCCAGCACAACCAAAATAAATAAATTAAAAAATAAAAATAAATAAAACCCATTCTGGTTGGGTGGCAGTGTGGCAGTGTGCCCAGATAAAAAGCATTTCCCAGCCTCCCTTGCAGCTAGGGATGACTATGTGATCCAGTTCTGACCAATAAGATATAAGCATAAGATATCAGTGGGGTATTGGAGAAAGCTCACCAAAAGGCAGATCAACTCAGCTGGCCAACCAACCCCTTTTGCCCTTTCCCTTCTTTCTTCCTGCCAAAAGCTGAGCTGAGCTGCAGACAGCTGAGCTGCTAGGCATCTGTGTAGAGTAGTAAAAATGAAACTAATGGTCAAGGATTTAATCATCTACTGTGACAGTATAAGCAAGAGACTAAACAGGAGAAAGTGCTGGCTCCCCTAATGTTCCATTTTTCTCCCTGGAACAGTGCCAGGCAAGAGTCAGGTGGATTAGTACAGATGGCGGGATTGTCTCACTGCTAAAGGATCCCTGAACAAACGGCTCCTGCCTTTTTGCAGACCAGGGAGGCAGGGAGAAGGGAGGGGGGAAGGGCTAGGAGTGAAAAAGTACTGCATACTGAGTCAGGGTGGAGGAAACATTTCAAGGCTCACTCTCGCCCCCTTCTCCCCCTCCCCCCGCCAACAGCCAGTAAGTTGGTCTCTGCAGAGACACCTAAGAGAGGCCATGGCTAGGCTCCCCCTTCTCTGCATAAGGAGCCTGGGCTAAGACTGGGGTGATGGTAGGATGGGGCCAGAGCCCTTGACTGTAAATCCCCTCAAAGAGTGCAGTGCACAGGCTATGTACCTTCCCGGGAGGCCTGTGGGCAAAGCTTTGTAACTGCCTATGGTTGGGTCTGAAATATGACACAGGTTTTTGGCTTAGAGGCGGACTCCTCACTGCCTACACTTTGCTGGAGAAGGAAGCAGGAATCTTGTGATCAGATGATGACAAATTCATGCTAAAGACTGCAAAAGAAAACTAGAAAGATAGAAGGCAGAGTCCCTGACGGCCTCATGGAGCAGCACCGTTTACCAGGGACTATCTCCAAAGTTCTATTTACATGAGAAAAATAAAACTACTAATTTGTTTAAGCCACTGCTTTTCTGGGTTCTTTTACAGCTGAATGAAATTCTTAAGGGCTACGTGGGGTTCCTAAGGGAAGTGGCTTCCAAAAGGGTGATGCTGGTTCGTTCATGAAGTTTTCACTGGTACTTGGTAGGTGAGAAAGAATGAATGTAGTCGGTTTTTCATAAACTAAATTTATTCAAACTTTTAGTACTGAGATTATGCCCTTCCAGATTATTTGACATTATAATGTCCTCTCTTTCACGAGATGATGGTGGTAATTTATGATGCTGGTTGTGTCTAAAATCTTTACTTAAAAATTAAGTTCTGGGACTTCCCTCGTGGCGCAGAGGTTAAGAATCCGCCTGCCAATGCAGGGGACACGGGTTCGAGCCCTGGTCTGGGAAGATCCCACAAGCCGCGGAGCAACTAAGCCCATGTGCCACAACTACTGAGCCTGCGCTCTACAACACGTGAGCCACAACTACTGAGCCCACTCGCCTAGAGCCCATGCTCGGCAACAAGAGAAGCCACCATAATGAGAAGCCCGCGCACCTCAACGAAGAATAGCCCCCGCTTGCCGCAAATAGAGAAAGCCCACGCGCAGCAATGGAAACACAACACAGCCAAAAATAAATAATAAACAAATTAATTAATTTTAAAAAATTAAATTCTGACTACTGTATCATAGAATCTCTAAACATAATTTTGGAAAAATGTACAAGTCATGTCAAACTTAAAAATACTTAGTAGTAACTAATTTCCACCTCAAAATCAGATATTTATATGTGCCTGGAAAAAAACCTGTTTTCCTTTACTTGAACACTTACAACATTTCTGAGACCAGATATGTGGGGTTTTCCACCCTAAACAATTTTGACACTAACTGCCTGGAGTTACTGCACACCCACAGGTTAAGGGGTCTTAATGCTAATTGTGAGTAGTGGGTCCCCAGGTTACCCATGACTTCTGTCTGACTTGGCTTACAAATTGGAGGTTCCCACGATCCCACCCCCTTGGGTTTGATAATTTGCTCACAGAACCCAGGAAAATAGTTAACTTACTACTGCTGGTTAATTACAAAAGACATTTTAAAGGCTACAAATGAACAGCCAGATGAAGAGATACATAGGGTGAGGTCTAGGAGGGTCCCAGGTGCAGGAGCTTGTGTCCATCTGGAGTTGGGGGTGTACCACCCTCCCAGCACATGGGTGTATTCACCAAACCAGAAACTCTCCAAACCCCATTTTTTGGGGATTTTTATGGAGAATTCATCACATAGGCATGACTGATTAGTAACTCCATTCCAGTCCCTCTCCTCTCTCTGGAGAATAGGGGGTGGGGATGAAAGTTCCAAGCTTCTAATCATGGCTTGGTCTTTCGGGTGACCAGCCCCATCCAGGAGCCCCCAAGAGTCTCCTAATTAGAACCAAAAATGCTCCACTATCCAGGAAATTCCAAGGGATTTAGGAGCTCTGTCAGTCACTTCTATCACTCGGGGTCTTAAGGGCTCTCTGTCAGGAAGTGGGGTCAAAGACCAAATATTAGAACAAAAGATTCTCCTAGCACCCCTATTTACAAGGGCTTTGTGTCAGGAACTGAACTGGGGCAGAAACCATATATATATATAAAATTTTACAATATGCTTCTATTCTTCAATAAGAGAAAAATTTTACAATATGCTTCTATTCTTCAATAAGAGAAAAATCCTGTCACTTTCGGTAAGAGATAAGAATGGGAGGTTGCAGATGGCTTGTACAGGGGAATGCAGAGATGCACATGTATAAGAATCACTGCCTTGGGCAGCAGGAGTTAAGTGTTAAAGAAAGAGCGAGCCAGGGCACCAGTTCAGATGGTGACTGGAAAGTATGAATACCAAGTTCTTTGAAGAGTCCTTAAAGACAAAAGAAATATTTAGCTGGAGAGGACTCAGGGGGCGCAGAACAGTTGCTTTCAAACATCAGAAGTTAACAAAGGGAAAGGAGTTCAGACTTTGATATGAGAGCCCAGGGTTGGAGCTCGGACCAATCAGTGAAAACCGCAGAGGCGCTTCTAACAGCAGGAGCGGTTCAGGAGGAACGGCTGCCTTGGTGAGGCTGAGGCTGGTGATCCCTTAGCAGGGATCACTGGACTGTCAGATCCATGGGAACAGGGACCTTGTCTGTTTTGTTCGCTGCCCCAGTACCTAGAAAGGTGATCAGCACATAGTAGGTACACAGTATATATTTGTTGAATAAGGTAATGGGGGTGACGGTCAGCATTCAATGGGAAGTTTGCCATGGTGACCTTAAGCTCACTGTAGCCTGAATTTCTGTGCCGCTTCCTTTATCTGCATGATCATCCTTTTAAGTCCAAATGTGTCTTTGTAGTTGTCTCAGAAATACACGGGGAACTCCTGTCCTGAAGAGGACAACAGAAACAGTGGGAAATCAGCAATCCTGACCTAGAAGAAGCTAAGCCTCCCAGATGGTGTATATATATTTTTTATTTATTTATTTATTTTGTGGTATGTGGGCCTCTCACTGTTGTGGCCTCTCCCGTTGCGGAGCACAGGCTCTGGATGCGCAGGCTCAGCGGCCATGGCTCACGGGCCTAACCGCTCCGCGGCATGTGGGATCTTCCCGGACCGGGGCACGAACCCGTGTCCTCTGCATCGGCAGGCGGACTCTCAACCACTGCGCCACCAGGGAAGCCCCAGGTGGTGTATATTTTGAACACAAAGTATAAACAAGTATCTTTGAGGTGTCACTGGTTTCTCCCTTTCATGGTCTCTAGCCAAGAAGTCACACCACCTTAAAGAGGCACTCAAAGGGCACTAAAAGAATTTTCTAAAATCTGTATGTCAAAATAGGTTATAGGTAAGCATGTCCTTTAAACACACTGTTCCATGCTTAGAGGAAGAAAAATTCGGATGTCCATTTTAACCCCCAACAGCTAGCACATTAAATCAGACTCCCAGCAACCTCCAGCAGGCTGAAGATAAAACATCAAGGAAGAACCTGAGCTCAAAGTCACGAAGTGCAGACACAGACATTATTATTATTATTTTTGTATTTTGTATTTATTTCGCAACCATTAGGTTCAGTTGCCCAGAGTCAGGTCACCAAAGACAAATTTTCAGCCTCCCAATGAATCCCAACCAAAGTTCATGCTGTTTGGCCACTTTAGGATGGCAAGGGGAGCAGAGGCTCACCTAGGTAATCTGTACACGAGCCAGAGAAAAGACACCCAAGTTAGGATGGATCCATTTCAGGGACTAAGGGTGCACCTAACGTGAAGCACACCACGTGACCACGAGAGGCACACGCAGGGCACTTGAGCAGCCTCACCCAGCCCCTCGTACTTCTCTCCAAACCAGTGCACAGTCACAATGACAAGTGACAGTGAGAGAGAAGAGCTGAGTGACACGTCTCAACAACATTTAATTTTTGTTTGTTAAATAGGTGATTAGGCTTCAGTGTGGCACCCCCCAGATGTTGGGGGTTGGGGCCATTCCATCCGTTTTCCTGCGCTTTGGTCGTTCTGCTTTTCTGCAGCGGATGCCATGTCCGAAAGAACCACACTCCAAAACCCACTGAGGAGAACTGAAAAACAAAAAGAGTAACTTTCAAGATCAAGTTGCCCCCGTACAGAAAGGATTTAGAGATATAACTTCAACACCAGAAAAGTCTGCCTCCACCAGCTCCCTAAACCTAGAGCCTTGAGCCCTGATTTATAGGCTCCACAGAAGACTTCCTGCTGCAGAGGAAATGACATTTTAAAAAGTTTTCCTCTATTTCTTTGGAAACCCAATGACTTTCTCTGATACACATCCCAAAGCTACCTTCAGCCACCCTCCTTTCTCTCTTCTTTGTGACTGATCTGTGTTTGGTGCTAGAGGAGGAAAGATAAAAGTAAATATCTTTTTACATAAAAAGACATAAAAAGATTTGGAAAGTGAGAGCTGTTTGTGGTTGCTGAAACATATGGTTATACAGGGGACAATGGCAGGATATGAGGCAGGACAAACAGATTAGGGATGGATCATGGCAATCCAGGGAGTTTGGGTTTTCTTTAGACAACAGGAGGCCAAAAAAAAGTTTTTAAGTAGAAAAGTGACGCAGTCAAAAGCACAATCAGATTTATAGATTTTCAAAGACCCCTATGGCTACATATAGGATGGATCAGAAGGAGGAGAAGAAGAGAGACAGAGAAACCCATCAAGCTCTTACCATAGTCTAAATGTGAGATGATCAGGTCCTGAATGCTGGGTATGGTACTGATAGGACAGATTTGAGAAATATTTCAGAGGTAGCACAGACAAGTCTTGCTGACAGATAAGATGTGGAAGATAAGAGGGAGGAATCTACACTGATGCTGAGGTTTCTAGCTTGGGTGACCAGGTAGATTTCTTAATTCATCCAATGAGTATTGTTGGAGGACTCACAAGCCAGGCACCAGATACGATGAATAAGGCAATCATGGTTCTAACTCTCAAGAAACTTACAGTCCAGCAAGGGAAACTACAGAGTAAACAAATACATAAAACGTTATTTATGTAATTACGATTATAAGGTACCATGAGAGGGTATGATAAAGAATCTAACCTAGTCTGAAATCAGGGGCGATGTGGATGGTAGTGCCATTCACTGAGACAGGAAAATGAAAGAGGATCTGGTTGTTGGGGGGATGAGTTTAGTTTTGAACATAATGAATTTGAGACATCTGTTGGTGCACCTAGTTGAGGATTTGCAAGAGACGGGAACTTGGAAAAAGAGGCTAGAGATACGGTGAAATCCAGGGGAGATTAAGGAATGTGGCAGAGAGGGGTCCCTAATGCATGGCCTTCCCCCTAAGAGAATAAGCCAGGCCTCCCTGGCGACCTCATCGGGGGAAATATCACAACCAGTGTCAGCATTTAAGCATACCATGAAGGTGAGGCTGAGGCAGGGGAGATCTGCCTAAATCCACTGGCTCTAGAAAAGGGAAAAGTTGCCAACAAAATAGCTGTGAAAAGTGGTTGGAGAAGGGTGGATGCTGTAATTTGCTGCAGTGAAAGAACCTAAAGTCCTGATTGGCCTTCTGGTAAACATGGGCTCCGGTTTCTGAAATGCTAAGTAAAGGTAGGGACAAACCAGCCCACAGGGCAGGCACTAAAGATTTATTTTCGTAAATATGGAAAGATTTGGCCCACAATGTCACCATCAGCCAGGGCTCCCTCGCCACTTCCAGGCCTAAGACCTGGGTAAGGCCTCCCTGGCCACTTCTGGCTCCCCACCACGGTGGCCCCCTGTGGCATGCCCTACTCCCTTCCTGGCCCCATCCCTACAGCCAAGCCTGGACAGTATCACCATTGCCTGATCTGGGGTGTTCCAACCAGAAGTTCCCAAAGTCATGATTCTCTTTTTAACTCAGCAAGGTCTGCTAGTCTGTGTGATGCCGGAGATATAAAGTTGGGCTGTAAAATCTGGGAAGGTAAGAACCTATCTCCATTGTTCACCAGTAGCCCAGCACCTAGCACAGAGTAGGTCCTCAATGAATGAACAAGAGTTTCCAAATAGCTTGGCAAATGATCCCAGAAAAGTTTTGAGTGCCATATGGTATGTATATAACCTTTGCTTGTTCAAAATCAAGCTTTCCCCAAATGCCTGCTGAGTGCTGGGGCTATATTGGTAAATAAATCTCTGACCTCAAGGAACCCTCAGTCTATGAAGTTATGGTTCATAAGAAAATGGCCACAATAGAGAAACATACAAAGAACTATAGCAGAGCCCAGAGAAATAAGTAAGTAATATTACCTGGAGAAGTAAAGCAAAACTCCACAAAGGACAGAGCATCTGAAGTAGGCCCTGAAGAATAAATAGGAAGTTTCCAAGCAGACACGGGAGGGAAAAGCATATTCCAGAACTTAAAAAAAAAAATCTTGAAAGATTTTATTTATTTATTTTATTATTATTTATTTATTTTTTATGCTGCGCCTCACGGCTTGCGGGATCTTAGCTCCCCGACTAGGGATTGAACCTGGGCCATGGCAGTGAAAGTGCAAAGTCCTAACTACTGGACCACTAGGGAATTCCCTTCAAAGATTTTAAAGTAACATTTCCAGTAGTTAGAGGTAGTTTGGTACTTTTACTACTAGATCCCTGTAAGTGCACAGTGGGATAAAACAAGTAAGTACTTATGTGATAGCCCAATTCGATCATTGATGGTGTCAGTGAGAAATGAGATCCTCAGTACAGGAGAAAGGAGATATGAATATAAGATACAAGCAGTTTAGTACTGTACTAAACAGGAATTGGAAGTATCAGTATGAACTCACAACATATGTTCTATCAAGCAAACAACAATCATATTTCCTAGCTCTGAACATTGAAAAGGCCTGAAAACAATGACTAAACCAGTTGCAGTGAGCACCACTAGCATCCAAATTGTGACCTGGAAATACTATTTCCCTGAATGGAACCAGGACTGGACTCCTTAGAGAAATGGCTCAGTCTGGGTCTGGGACAGGAAAAGTCCAAAATGAGCCTAGAACATTTGGTCATAACAGATAACAAGGCAGTTACCAGAGACTCCTAGGGTCGTGCCGACAGGACTCGGGGGCCAACCTGAAGAGGCTCCCGGTGGCCAAATACAGGACAATTTGAGCATCAATAAGCATAGTATTTGCAATGGACTGAAACTAATTGGTCATTGCTGCAGATCCTAGTGAGCCAACTACTATTTTGAAAGGAGGTAAATAAAGAGAAAAAAATCATTTATCTTGCTTTTCTAATATAAACTGTATCACTGGAACCACACAGATGAAGGGAAATTTTTAGTAAAGAAGTATTCTAGTAAATAAATAAAGAAGGAAAGATAGAACTGAAATGTCATCATTTTGAAACCCATACTGAATTAATGGGTCTAGGCATTGTTTATTAATGGCTACTAATATCAAAAAGACAGAGAGATAATTAGACATTATGAGTTTATGGATGGAAGGGTTTTACGGCACATATCAAGTAATTTTGCCAAAAAAAAATCAATCTGAATCTGATCAAACCTTTAGAAACAACCAGCAATTCACAGAAAACAGAGGACAGAGCTAAATGTTAAATGATACCATGGAGAAACAATCAGCAAAATCCAGACAGTGAAAAACTATAGGATAAATGATTTTTCAACAAATAAGTGGCAAAGGGAAAGAGAAAGATGGAGTAGGACTCTATAATTTAAGAGGTACAACACCCAATTGCAATATGAAACTCAAACACTGAAATGTATTTGATATTAGTTATTTCTTTTTTTTTTAATATTTATTTATTTTTTATTTTTTTATTTTGGCTGCACTGGGTCTTAGTTGCGGCACGTGGGATCTTTTAGCTGCAGCATGTGGACTCTTAGTTGCGGCATGCGGACCCTTAGTTGTGGCACACAAACTCTTAGCTGCGCCATGCAAACTCTTAGTTGCAGCACGTGAACTCTTAGTTGCAGCATGTATGCGGGATCTAGTTCCCCGACCAGGGATCGAAACTGGGCCCCCTGAATTGGGAGCATGGAGTCTTACCCACTGGTCCACCAGGGAAGCCCCAAGAGTTATTATTTCTTAAGATGTGATTATGGCACTATGGTTAGGTTTTGAAGAGTAACTTTCTTTTTTTTTTAAAGGTTGTTTTAGCCTCTTATTTTAAATATTTATTTATTTTTGGCTGTTCCTCATGGCTTGTAGGTATTTTTTTTTTTCGGTATGCGGGCCTCTCACTGTTGTGGCCTCTCCTGTTGCAGAGCACAGGCTCCGGACGCGCAGGCTCAGCGGCCACGGCTGACGGGCTTAGTTGTTCCATGGCATGTGGGATCTTCCCGGACCAGGGCACGAACCCATGTCCCCTGCATAGGCAGGCGGACTCTCAACCACTGCACCACCAGGGAAGCCCCCGGCTTGTGGGATCTTATTTCCCGACTGGGGATTGAACCCGGGCCCATGGCAGTGAAAGTGCAGAGTCCTAACCACTGGACCGCCAGGGAAGTCCCTGGAAAGAGTATCTTTTATAGATACAGAATTTAAGTGTTTATGGATGAAATAATAGGATGTTCTATATTTGCTTCCAAATAATACAGGGGAAAGAGGTAGGGAATATATGGGTATATGGATGAGACAAGACTGGCCATGAGTTGACAACTGTTGAAAGTGAAAGAAGGGAGGGGTACATAGGGATTCACTATACTATTCACTCTACTTTTGTCTATGTTTAAAAGTTTCCACTAAATAAGTCAAATAAAAGAATAAAAAGTTATTGTGTTGACCCACTTACCATCCCAGGGTCTACCAATTTTCCTCAAAGAAAGGGAACAAAGAAGAAAACTGAAAAAGAAATAGCCCAGGAACTGAAAATGGATTCTCTGGGAAGGGACATTTCCCGACATGGTGTGGAAAAGAATAAGGGGCTGTAGAAAACAGTGTTAGCTATGGTGTGAGATCATGCGGTTTGGACACTGTGTTAAAGGGGATTACAGCATTCATTGAGTTAAAGCTGATTTCAGAATAAAAGAACTGATGTGTATAAACCTAGTAAGAACATTTGAAGCTTTGGCTTATAAAATGAACTCTTGACATGAGTGAGTG